CGAAGTTGCGATCTTGGTTGGTCCAGCTACTTCTATCTCACTTTAGCTTTACTGTAAGACTCTCTAGTGCAAAATAAATAGGATTTTCGTAAAGATCGGGACCAAAAACCACTATGAGTGAAGTTTACAGTCAATCCGAGAACTTCAATATTTTAACCAAATCTTACGCCGAGGCCAAGAGTGAGGAGCGAGAGGCCAAAAGCGCGCTATATCAGTGTGTATTGCTTCTAAGAAGCTGGAAAAAATATGGTATGTATAGGTATAAGAGAGGTGTCTAACACGATTTTTGGGGGAATTACGGAGCAACTTTGGGAGAGCCGATTTTACGGCCTGAGCATGCATGTTGGGGGGCTAATAACTCTGCGAATATTACAGCTACGGGGCTGGGGTTTGTTTTATTCGACAGATCTCTGAAAATATGATTTTTAGAGAGAAGGTCGTAAGATAACAAATTTCCATTAAAAGTGCCTAATTGACAGCCGAACTTGGGAAATCTGTCAATAAGGGCGATTTCGGCGCCTTATATCTCTAAGAGTTGCAGGGCTGGGGTAATCTCATGTGGCCATTGACATGTAGTTTTGGTAGCTCTATTTTTCTAGTGGTAGCTCGTGCTCACAGCTCCAGCGTAAGAGGCGCTATATAAAGGCGATAGTGCATATTTTGAATTTTATCTCCGCGGAGAGTAGGGATGACGAGCTGGGATAGCCATTCTTCAGTTTGTATTCGAGGGGGACACCACATATAATTCGGAGAAAATGTAGGGGCTCCGGCTGTGGGAGCCTATCTATAAACCTTCCCGGACTTAAAAAAAACTTAGACACGCGATTTTTCCTCTTCCCCCCCCCCCCTTTCTCTCTCCCCCCTTATTTTTCCCCCTCTCTTTATTACCGCTTCGTGTACAGTTTTCCCGCGGCCATCTGGACCTGGTTAGGGGCTGAAAACGGCTAAAAAAGGGGGTAAATCGGGCTAGAAAAACGCGATTTTCGCTTATTTTTTCTTAATTTTTCTTATTTTCTTCAATTTCGATCGTGACGTGGGGTATAAAGTGGGCGGAGCTTGCTTGGAAAAGTTTCAGCTGTATAAAAGCACTGGAAATGAGCTTATTATGGAGTTTTTCGAATTTTTCGCTTAGTTTTTCAATAATTTTACCGATTTCCGAGATTTCGAAACCTCCAGAATATCGATTTTATCGATTTGTGCCGATTTTTGGGGTTTTGCAACCTTCAAAATATCGATTTTATCAATTTTGCCGATTTTTGGGATATCGATTTTTGTCAATTTTCGGGATTTCGCAACCTTCAAAATGTCGATTTTATCGATTTTTGACAATTTTCGGGATTTTGCAACCTCCAAAATATCGATTTTCGCCAATTTTCGGGATTTTGCAACCTCCAGAATGTCGATTTTATCGATTTTTGAGGTTTGATAGTTCTCTAAGCTCAAAATATCGATTTTATCGCTGTTTAGCTGTGAACTGTAAGCCCCGCCCACTTTTTGATGTTATTATACACCTAATATATGTATATTTCCTTCCACTCACTTCATATACAATACCGCTCATATTTCGTCAAAAAAGTCGCCGGAGTGCGGCGGAGTGTGGCGGAGTGCGGCGCACTTCACCACACTCCGCCGCACTCCGGCGCACTGCGCCACACTTCACCACACTCCGCCGCACTCCGGCGCACTGCGCCACACTTCACCACACTCCGCCGCACTCCGGCGCACTCCGCCGCAGTCCGGCGACTTTTTTGACGAATTATGAGCGGTATTGTATGTATCCCTGTTGTATATTTCCTTTAACTGTCATACCTCGACATAAAAGGTGGGGCCTAGGCGAATGGGCGAACCATGTATGCCTCGGTTACATCATCAAATCACCCTTATCCAAAAATTGGTTACGAGGTAGGAGGATTTCAAGTAAATTGGTGTGAGAATCAGCAGTAGTCAACTATCTGCTATAACTGTAATAATCAAATAAAGTTAGGTAGAATCCTTCTGGACTTGAAGGCTTATTGAACCAAAGAGACTATTTCAATACTACCTAATAAAATTAAAACTCAGAAAAAAATCATAATAGATTTGTTCGTCTATGGACTATGATTCTGTTGCCGAAAGACAAGGGTAAGCCAACGAGCCGCACAGTCCAGCTGAAAAATTTGATGCAAATCAACTTTCCTTAGCTTTCTCTTGGAGCCGGAACTATCTGCTGAGCTGAGCACATTTGGGGGAGACGCCGTAGGAACCCACGTCACGGTAGAATAAGGTATTGAAGACAAACAAGAATTTTTTGCGTCCAATTCGGGCGTAGTGAATATCGAATGATTGAAAACGTTGACTGCTAGGCATGAATACCCAATACTTGCTCGCTCGTAATCTGATTTCTTTCCAAAGTACCCGGAAGCAAAAAACCATATCTGATAGCTTTCTACGATATTTAGGCTCCTCATTTTGAGGGTATTGAGTCGTTCACTGTAGCAAGGCATATTTAAGTTATAAGCAGGGTCAAGCAAGGGGTGTGGCACACGATCGCTGGTTACGACCCCCCCCCCCCTGATTGCTGCCTCAATAAGACCCCCCCCCTGAACTATATACCTAAGATAGCATTATCAGAGTTGAGAAAGAGGTCAGGCACAAGTCTTTCGAAACCCCCCCCCCTCCCATGAAAGCCCTCAAACAACCCCTTCTTCCTCCTCTTGACCTCTGCACCTCAAAGTGTAACATTCTGGAGGATACCATCTTTTTTTTAGAGAGTTTTCAGATTTCTGAGAGCTGTACGCCCAATTTTCTGTGACTGCAGTTTACAATCACACGTAATTTGACGGCTGATTTTGATCTAAATGGGCATATTGAAAGGGCCACAATTTTCTTATGGGTGGGGCGTTCGGCTCCAAATTTCCAATGTAGCAAGAAGAAGCTATGTGCTCAATACTCATACCAGCAATGGAGCGCTTTCTGGATTTTGAAGGCAAGTTAAGGGTGTGCCGCACCCCATTAACTATATCAAAAAAACATTTTTAGCGGACAATATTTATGAATCGATAGCCTAAACCTTGTAGATTCCATAGGACTGTTTGGAGCCTGATTCGTCTTCTTAGCTCTAAGTAATATTTGCTGAAAGCACAGCGATCAAAAGCGAAAAATGGGAAAAACGCGATTTTGGTTGGCTTCTAATTCACCAGTTTGCATGTCTTTTGAAGCGGAATTCCTGAGGTGGACAAAGAAGGAGTAGTGCTTTCTCTTGAGTGCAAAAACGGATAGCTAGTTCATCTTTGAAACAAAGTTAACCATGTTGGAATTTGACCATTTCATTTAGGTAGCCTAGTATCTTGAATCTTCAGAATTCGCTCACACTTGTCTACAGGGGTTAATTGACATGCTAATTATGGATGTGATACGAATATCATGTTATCACTATTATCAGATTACCCAACTAAGACCCCTCCCCTTTTGACTCCTCAATACGACCCCCAGTTGTGGCGTGCCGCACCCCACGCTTGACCATGGTTATAAGTAGGCCAACATCTAAGGTACAGCAAGCGCGTGAAAGTTTGCTGGACCTTTCCTATACGCCTGATGTCCTTCTTGAGATATGGACTCCATATCTGCGAACAGTATTCAAGATGTGGCAAAACATAAGCATTGTATAATCGTTTATAAATCTCAGGATTTTATGAGTGTATTGATCTAAAAATAGCATATAAAACACGGTATGCCTTCATGACTATGTCGCTTATATGCTGTGAAAATCTGAGAGAGAGCTCAGTTAATACTTTCAAGTCCTTAGATGACGTACACTCAGTCAGGGTGACACCATCTATCTCATACTTAGCTCCTTCCTTTCTTCCGATTCGCATAACAGAGCTTTTCAAGATTAATGGGAAGATCTCACATTTTTGACCAGTCCAGCGTCCGTTTGATGGCAAATTTCATCACAGCTGGAAAGGTCATAAATTTCACAGATTTTGATATTGTTAGCGAACATCTTGACCTTGATGCAAGGTGCTGTTTTCAGTAAGGAAGGTAAATCCATGGTGTAAATTGAAAAAAGTAGTGGTGAAAGTGCACCCCCTTGAGGCACACCGCTTTGACAAGAGTGTTTCTCAGAGTGGGTATAACCAACTTTTACAGTCATGCTCCTGTAATTCAAGTAAGATTTAAGCCAAGCAAGAACGTTGCCGGATATGATTGATTTTTTATCTTTATCATTACAAGCAATCAAAGAAGAAAATGTGCATAAATTATCATTACACGGATACTTTTTAATATGACTTTAACCTCATTATCTTATTACTACCCGCTACATGGCAACAAAAGGGGCATAAGCTTGAAAAATTCAATGAATTGATGGTAATAGTCAATAAGTCAAGCGATGCAATCATTATTTTCTAATAATCATGCTCACCTATCCATTCAGCAGCTTTTAGTTGGCAGAGAGTAACTTGCAAAAACCAACAATAGATCGAAGCCAATCAATACTATTCAGTGAAATCAGGTTATTAACCCTCGCTTCACCCGTGATTTATGGTTGATAGCTTAGATTTCGTAATTCTTACCAACAATTTAGGCCAGCCATAGCAAAAATGCGGTGCGAAAAACAAATGAATCGATGTATCGCAACAATCTTTCACCGAAGCAGTTTGTTAACATATCTTTCGCTCCTTCAAGCATGCAAAATTTGGTCAAAATGCCTCAATTCTTTCCGTCATTTCAGGCAGATCATTTTAAAAAGTCTAATCCAAACAAATATAAGTAATGGTTTTGCAGAAAAATTTTAATAATGCTCACTGGTACACCATTTTTTTAACGAACGAAATTTGCAGTTTCTGATGGTTCTAGTTGGAGATCACCGTGCTTCTTATAATTAAAAAAAAACCGCGAATTTCCCTTGTTGGAAAATGGTAATTAAAATGGTAGGTGTTCTCAAACATGTTTTGAAAGCATGGTGATATCAGTCTATATCTGAGCAGATAACCTTCGTTTTAAGAGATTTTATCATATACGTTCTACAGATAAATGAGTTCAAAATACGTTACATAATAGCTTTGAGAAAAAGCTTTAAGTCAGTCCAAAACAGATGATAAACAACTTCATAGAAGAACGGTAAAGTCATATCTTTCTATAGATTCGAGATAGTCGTTCTTTGACGTTTTTGTGAAGCTTAGCCATGAAGTGCGAAGGATAATATGTCAATGTAAATTTTCCAAACTTTTGCACTTTAGGTAACCATTTCCTTGTCCAGTTATTAGCATTGGTATCGCGGTAATGCCTGCAGGAGAGAAGAAATTTTGTTGTGACCTTGGCTTGCGAGTGATGCAATTAAAGCTTTGCTAACCTTATAACCGCTTTGTCTAGTGGTGCTTCGACACATTTATATCCAGGAAAATATAGAAGGACATTGTGAATCCACATGATCATTACCTAAAATACAGGGGTGTCCTATAAGTTTCGTCAGTTATGAATTTCAACTGCAATAAGCTCATTATTAGGTAGGATGCAAGAAACCCTTCGATAGAGCAAACCAAGCTCCATAAATTTGCGATCTTGGTTTTGCACCAGTTCAATCCACCTCAAGCTTTGAGCCAGAAACTAAAAAAATTCAAATGTTCGAAAAATCGAGGAAAAGTGTAACTTTGTTCAATAAACTCGTACAAAAATTTTAGCTTGCTTACGTACATACTACCCACATAAGACATCACGTGGTTCGTACGTCGTTCCCGTATTTTCCCTCGGTTAGAAATCAAGAAAAAGATTTTGCCAAAGTGATGCTTTGCTGTCCCACATACAGGTCAAACGCAGTGTCGCTTGTATCGGCATCTCCACTACCGCGCTGGACTCTGCGTCTCTTCCGCGAAATGGTCTCTGGTTACTTTCAATCAATTGAGGTTCCACCTTTTCCATGCTTGCCCTGGGAAAGTGATCAGAGAGCATGTTCGCGGAAGAGATGCAGAGTCCAGCGCGGGAGTGGAGATGCTGATGCAAGCGACACTGCGTTTGATAAGCCTTTAGGTAATTGTATACTACTAGCCTATAAAAGTACACAAAATTCCAGCTCTCCACAAGCCTAGTAGTCGAGAAATATGGATTTTATCGTAAATCACCAGCCTAGAGGGAGTTAAATTCGTTATTTTTCGAAAACTAGAGCTTGTGGAGAGCTGGAAATTTGTGTTTATATTTCTACAGATTAGTAGTATACAATTGCTTGTGTGGGGATGTCAGGATAAGGGTTCGCGAGTCCTTTACCATGTGTAGCGGCGTTTACATTAGTCTTACTATAAAATTTATTATACAGACTATATACACAAGGGGGGAAGAGAACATTGGCTCCTGCCGGCGGGCGGAGGTCACTGCCAGAGGTTCGCTATCTTAGGCCAACCTCCATGGCGAGTAGCTGTTGAGTAATAGCTGCGTCCCCACAGGGACAGCACAGCATCACCTTTTGCAAAAGCATATAAATCTTCGTTTTCTTGGCTTCTAACCGAGGAAGAATACGTAAACGGCGTATATGAATGTCTTGGATAGTATATATGCTTTCCCTCTTTTTTTCGGATAGTTGTATTTTTACAATTCTTTGTGTATTGATGTTTTGGTTTTTTGGTGTATCAAAGCCGTTGCAAAAGCAAGATCGCTTTTTTGTAAAGCTTGCTTGCTCTACCTTTTTGATTGAAATTGCAACCTATCTAAAATCAAAAATTATATGACTTATTGTGGTTGAAATTCGAAACGGACGGAACATGTGGGACGATACTACAGGGTCTTTGGCAAGTTTCTGGCCTCAAGTAGTTCAATAGCGAATCCTGTCTATATTTTTGCTATATGTGTTCGCTAAACCTAAAAGCCACTATATTAACAAAGGAAATTATATTTTTCCTCAAGATAACCTATGCAATTTACAGGGGTCAAGCGTGTGATGCGACTGGCGCAACGGTGGTCGTAAAGGGGGATCCCTTCACACGACGGTCACGAAGCCGATGTGTCCGATAACCACAGGATGCATACTCTTATAAAGAGCTTAAGCTGATTTCAAATCTGCCTCCCATTTCTGCAGAACGCTTTTAGAATGGAAATTATGAACATTTTTATCTCAAAACTCACAAGCGTTTGAGTGACTACAAGCATTGAAAATGGTTCAAATCGCTTTTTGCGCTACAGAATTTAAAAAAGGGTCAGCAACACGCTGAGCACAGATAAGCAATTTCACGTAAGTTTTTGATAAATACGCTCAGGTATCGATAATCCTCGCTACTCTCAGCCTTACAAGCCTGCAAACAAAAGTCCAAACCTTCCTTTCCAGTTGCTTGAAATCAGCGCGTCAATCTCTTCGTGATGACATACATCTTGCTTATCGATCATTTTGACTTCGCCACCTTTCGTTGTAAGGGAGTGAAAGTGTGTTACTTTTACTACATTTTCATCTCTTCCGTGATGGTCTATGTCCATATGGCCATGAAATATTCTTATTCATCAAAAACCTGCAGTTTAAGTACATACTACTTAAAGTGCGCAAAAACACAAACTTCGTCGAGAAGCACAGCTTTGCCTTCTAAAGTGGGAGTATGTAGGTAATCAGCAAGAGAGCACACAAGTAGTCAGCTTGGTTTCTCGTCTGTTAGCAAGCATTAATTAATTGTCAACTACGAATTTTTTGCCTTTTCAAATTTCACTTTAATGTCTAAAGTTTTTCTAGATTGTCTTCGGGTGTAGGAAATGAAGCAAAGTTTTTGTAGAGCAAAAGTTTTTAGAAGCGTATATAAACTTTAGTGAACAATGTACAAAATGTTGCAAAAAAGTGATCTCCACACCAACGCTTGCCGATCGCCAGTCGTCGATATTGGCAATTAAATGTTCGCCAGTGCCGACAACTTAAAGACACCATTTTCAGCCGCCAGTTAGATGCATATTTATTCGAGGCCGACTGACCCCATAACGATTGGTAAAGTGCTACACGAAATCACCCGGGTTGTTGTAGGCCGAACACACCTGAGTGCGCCTGCAACGCGGCCGAGTTCGGGCGCTCCAATGACTCATACATGCGAATGCCAATGTTAACCCGCAAGAGACACACTGGGCGTTCAGCCCGGGCGTTTGCGTGTGCCAATCATATTTATGGGCGGCGTGGCGTTATGGAGCAGAGCTATGCTAAAGAGGACCCCTCTCCGTTATTTCTTTTATAGGCAACGTTAGGAGACGGGCCAAAGCGGTTGTCTTGTTTTTAAAGGCTACCATTAAGATAAGTAGTAATCTGGAATCGATTTTGGGTGGACGCTGCCTCCCTCTAAGCACCTTTTTGTTTGAATTTAGCTTGATTCGTCCTGTTCACTTATCTTTTCCCTAAAATTCATTTATTTTTTCGTTTTTTCATTTCACTATTTTATTGTACAGTTTAAACATCTTTTCCGAATCTAGCGATAGGGAATGGCAAAGATCGCTGACAGTAGCGCTACTCCTCAGCAGCAGCTAATGGCGACGCAGCGCAAATGCCCCTCAAGATATACCGCAAAGAAATGCGGCTTAGCCTTGCTCCATAACTCCTGTCCCCAGTCTCCATATTTATGTAAAGAAAGTTGCCACTGTTGACCACGATGATCGCCAACGTCTGCAGGGAGGATTAGAAGATGTTGCATGTATCTAATGCTTACCGATCGAAAGGATGCTAAAATCGTCGATAACCTTAAACTTCATTCTTCTTCTCAGGTTTTCTGCAGAGAGATGGTCAGTCATCTAATGTAGCAACATGGTAGGTTCCTTTGTTCAAGTGTTTTTGTGCCCGTTTCCTATCATTTTCGGGAGTGGGAGGGAACAGCCGACCCTCGCAGGAAAATATGAAACTGAATGTCTTTGCACCTTTCAATATATCTGAAAACATACCGCATACAACGAATAAATCAATTGACAGGAATGGATTGATTAGTATGCATGACGCTTTTTGCCCCTGCTGTTTCATTCCAGTTCCACTGCGCAGTTATCGAATAGTCAAAATGTTTTTAATTGCCCAAAATGCGAACACAAACTTTTTATCAAGGATAAGGATATATAGCTTTGCAGAGTTGAATAGCAAATTCATAAATAAAGGTAACGGACACATATATCATGCATTCGCATACTGTAACTCTGCAAAAACAGTTGGAAGGTCATTACTAAAACAAGTTTACCCGCCGTTCATACGATTATCCCTTAATCTGCAGCGGCAGAGAAGATACAAAGATGTATATACATTGTATGACAGAGCAAAAAGCTCTACAAGAAATTTTTAAATGTTCACAAAATTTGTTCTGCTGAGTTTGCGAGGAAATCTAGAAATTCTAAAAACATAGAAATTAGATTATCTCTGAAAAGATTCCGGGAAGTCCCAACTTTGTCAAGCATATACAGTACATATAAAATATTCACATATATATTCAAATATATCTTGTCGTATTTCTTGTAGAAAATCAAAATTAGAATAGGCCAAAAATTTATAATTGTCTACTTCTTGGGTTTTTTAGGTTAGATTTGAGATACCTCGGCAACTAGCACTCGAAAAAAGCTAAAAATTTATTGTTGCACGACTTGTGATGCGGAATTATCTATGCCTGGACCAGTCCAGCACTGAATTTGCTGGAACATGCCAAGTTCCACTTCTTATGTAACCATGAAAAAAATGTAAGTGTACGTATACATAGCTGATGCGGCAAACAATTTTCGTGAGCACGTTGAAATGCAGGATTTTTCTGAACAAAACTTCCGGATTTTATGATTAATTTTTCAAAAATCTTCTTCCTTTCCGTGATCAGTTTTTAAATTTTTTATGCATTTTCTTCCGCTCAATGATAAGTAACATGCAATGTTTGTGTATCCCGATACAATTTGAAGGGAGAGAACAGAAGTGCGCAATGGTGATTTTATGGGTCCAAAAAACGAAAATCTGGAAAAAAGTACCGCAGAGATATAGCAAGTCTCATGAAAAGCACATTGTTAAGAATTTTTTACCTTCGAGCCTTTCACTAGTTCATCTAAACTGAAGTAGTAGTCTCAGGTAACTCAAATGAAGCAGAGTATGGGGATCATTGTGTAACGATGCAATTTACTGCTATCAATCTTTTCTTTATGAGAATAGAAGGATTTTTTTCAACTGCAAATAGAACTGAAACCTAGGAACGAAAATGCTGCAAATAAATCTAATAATTATGAAAATTAGGCTTGGCAAAAATTTGATACAGAACACAGGTACCACAAAGCAAGGAAAATGAATAACAACAAAATATCGATAACCAATCACCTCGAGGGTGCATCTGTAGCGCTGATCGCTAGCGGCACTGTTACCTCATCACTGAGCAGAATCGCACACGCAAATGCCGTGAGTAATAATACTACCGAAGGCATTTCTTAGGTACTAGGACTATAAGGAATGCGAAAACTTAAATTGAGCACCCGAGTGTAGAATTTTGGAATTATGGCGATGTCGTCGTAGATGTTTATCGCACTGGTGTTGGCAGCTGCTGTTGAAGGGCGGTGCAAACTACTTCATAACCGGTCTAAGATGAATCAACGGTTAACTGATAAATGAACCCATCGGCATTCCTTCCATGGTAAAGTGTACAGTGAGTGAAAACGCAGGTGTTCATCACGTCCGGTCGTCGAAGCGCATTTTTTTATAACCGCGGTTTGTGAGCGAATTTCGAATTATTTTGCATGGATTTTTCAAAAGAAAATTACAGGGCAGTATTGTTCAAGGTCACATTTTCTAAGAGAAGACAATTAGCATTGTAAGGTACATTAATTGTAACCTATCTTCATCATGAGTTGCTTGCGGATGGTCCAAAGCAAAAGCACAATTTTTTGAGCCGCCTGAAGCGGAAACGAGACTATAATTACGGTTAGTGTAATTATTTGATATTTACGCTTTTATTCAGATTACTCGATGGTCTGTCTTCATCACGCTCAAGTCCAAGTTTCAAACACTCTTTACGGTCTCGGGTAATAGTCATCCTGGACGTCTAAATATGCGGTACGATTGCTGGAAATCAACTAAATTCTAATTGCTGATACATTTGGTTCAAACGGACAATTCGAAGCTTTTGAAATCCATCAATCCGCCTATCTCCGTTTGTTAGTCGTACTGTACTAGTTCACGTAGGCGCGAAACTTGCCCTTAGTCGAAACTCCAGATTTCAAGTCGATACTATTTGTGGAGTGCTCTGTGTGCTGTCCATAAAACCTTGGTGTTGTTAATGTGCCAGCCTAGGCTTCGCTGCACAACACAAAGCTGGTCCAGCTGGCAAACTCCGCCTTTGCCGCTCTCGGCCTTCTACAGTCACTTCTAGCCGTGTGAGGTGTGCATCTTAGTTGAGCTAAGGACGCGCTCTCTTACATCCACTCTAAAGTGTAGTTTATGTTCCAATATTACCAACCAGCCGCTCACATCCGCTACGAGGCAGGTTCGGCTGGAACTCGGCAGCTTCGCTGCTTTGTACACTTTTCATTTTAATGTAAACTAATGTAAGATTAAGCCATTTGATTGACTGTTCGCGCGAATTACTTCTGTTTATGACCTGTTTAGATCGAGAAATCGAAGACATGAATTGGACCTGGGAGCTTATTGAATCAACATCTTAAGCAACAAACAGTGTGCAATCAACAACAACATAGAATGCCTGCAACAATGACTACACCAAAAAAAGAAGATGCCAACAACAACAACATTAAGTACAACAGAAAAGCCTATGACACAACAACAGTAACAAAGAAACATTCATAACAGCATTCAGAGTGTATGACTCCACAGGACTTCGGTAAAAACGACGTTGACTGGTTGTGGATTGACAACTTGCACAATGAGACCTTCACGCGATCTCGATCGGCTGAAGGCCACATAGAGTTGACCGTAACTCAAGACATCGGTGGGAAGCCATAGTCCAACTTTGCTGAAGGATTGACCTTGGGCCTTGTTGATGCTCATAGCGTACGCCAGTCTGACGGGAAATTGAGAGCGCCGGAATCTGAAGGGCAAATTCTTGTCGTCGTAGTTGTGGATCCTCGAAATCACGATTGACTGCCTATGATGAGTACCCGTTATGAATTTGCATCGTATGAGACGACGGCCCATATCGCAGACTTGTAGTCTGTTCCGTTGCATAACCCAGAGGAAACGTCCAAGTTCCGAAGCAGCATGACGATGGCGCCGTTCTTTGACCTGAGACAGTGCGGCGGCAAGGAACAGCTAGAGATCCTGTTGAGGAACTCGGTAGTATAAAATTGATTTTGGTCATTAGCGTCCTCCGTGACAATTTCGTCGTGAGAATAGTAGATCTCTTCTTCACCTTGTAGGCGGTGTAGAACTTGCTCGTTTATGGTATTCACGTCGGCGTTCTTGAGGGTAAGGATAGCCTAACCAGGCAAATCAACCATTGGTTCGATGCATTCGCCGTATAGTTTCTTGGACTATATCTCCTCGACCCATGACTTCCGTGGACAGCTTCACGCGCCCTTGGCTGTCATTGGCGGTGCCGTTGCCCACGCGCAATAGAAAGTCCTTCCAGTCCGCACCGCGTTTTGTCGCTCGCATATTTTCGGAAAGGCGTAGTACTATGACATGCGACCAAAGGGAAGACTGCTTAATGCACATGCTTAGTTGGTCTGCTAGCGATCCGCTACGAACAACCGGTAAGATCTGTCTGTCACCTAGAACAACCATCTTCCCACCAAAGGGCTTGTCGACTTGCATGATATCGCGCAGTACAGCATCCACCGTCTCAAAAGCCGTTTTGGGGATTATAGGTTTTCAGCGAGCAGTCTCGCGTCTTTCAATTTCCTTTTGTGGGATGATGTCTCGCAGTTGTTCATGATACTGAACTTGAACAACGACACCGTTGTGCGACCCAACGGGAGCGGGTTGGCCGCGATTCCTGTCCATGCTGTAGAAGAGACTTTGCGCCCTTGACCGATGAGAATATTGAAGAGGCATGTATAGTTCCACGTTTTACCTGAACCGCCAGGACCATCAATGAAAGAAAATCGGAGCGTCTGGGACATCAAGAGCACCAATAACGTGACAACCGCTCTCTTTTGCTGTGAATTTAAAGTTTCATATAAGCGATTACCTTCGGCTAAGTAAAATGCAGTATCGTACGCATGAGCCACGAGACGACGGCCTAATGACGGTGCGGTAATGTTGAATAAGGCAGTATTGATATTGCTCTTGATAAGTTGCTCCTCAAGGTCGTAATAGGCTGCCAATGGCCTCCTTGGACATACCTTCGTGAAGGTAGTCGTCGATGAAGTTCCTCTTGAAAGTGTTCCACAGCAACATCGGGTCCTTCACTTCATGCGAGCACAGCACAAAAGAGCGCATTTGCAAAACTGTAGCGAATAGCGCAGCTTCCCGTAGAGTGGCATTGTGGGATTCGTCATCGTCGAAAAGTCCTAGAGCTGTGGCTGCAGCATAAAAGGTGGGGTGTACAACCGCATTGCCATTTTCGTCGACGACAGAACGCAGTTGTTCAAATGATGTGGCTCCGCGAACACATAGAAGAAGATGTCTAAGAGCGTATTTCTCCGTGTCGCGAGGGGATGCCGTGTACATTCGACCCAGTTGGTTGCCGCCTCGACGTCGGGGAGTCCACGTACCATCCTGCTTAAATCTAAAGTACGTAGATAGCTCCGTGTAGAGATAGCGACGAATGTCGATGAACCCTGCTGGGATAGCAGCGCTGTTTACGGTCGCTTCGCATTCCGCATTAGCCTTGAACCACGCAGTCAATGTAGTGTGAAGCACAGCCGCACGATGGATAGCTTGTTGCTCCTCTTTAGCTCGAGAGGTGACCTACTGTTCTCGAGGCAGATGACTGCAAGGAGATAGATTGAGTGAGACTTCTTATCTACTCTGTACTAAAAAAAGTGATGTCTGGATTCGGGAGCGCAGACGTAACGCCCGTCAAGGTGAGCAGCGATCTCATCGATGACATGGCCATCCCTATTTTCTGCAGCGCTTGGCCTGCTGAGGCGCATTGAAGCGGCATCGTGTCCCTTATAAACGTATTTGTACAAGTACTTAGACGGCCTCCACCATTGAGCAGATCTCCAAGTTGATGTGCGCATTGAATGTCTTTGAGAGGAACGCATTGTATGGGACCACGTGCCGGTTGTACAGCTTGACATCGTTGTACATGACGTAGTGGCCATCGTTTTGGGCCTCCTGTACTTGGTGTAACCGTTCACTTGTAAGACAGTCGTATCTCAAAACTCCTTGAGAAACTTCTTAGTGCACTTGCCATCACGCATACACGGTGATTCCGGGTTATGGGTTCCGCAAGGTCGGTGCATCATCATTGTCGTAACAATCCCGTGCAGAATTGGATCCTCATCGGGATCCGGAATGGTAACGCTGATGAGGCGATCGCCGTCGGCTGCTGTGCGAGATTTCGAGTCGTTGTCCAAGATGAGAAGGGAGTGTGTGTGCGTGGCAACCCTCGCTTCTTCCACTCGAAGGCTGATACGTAACCTACGAAGCGGCCGAGAACGTGTTGTGTGAGGAGTAGCTCCATGAGGGCGTCGAATTTGCATTTGTAAGCTCTCGCAATCATGTCGGGACGGTCGGTGGCAGTCTGTCCTCGCTGAAGGCTCTCTTCAATTTCGCGCCATTTGGGGTTACATGTAAACGTTATGAAAAAGTCCGGCTCATATTTTGCGACAACGGTTATGGCGTTTTGGTAGTCTTGTAACATAGAGCGCGGACTTCCTTGAACCGTGGCTGGCAGGATGATTCGTTTGCCCGGTGGTCCATTGCTACCGTCGTCAGTGGAGATAAAGTCGAGTTGTGATTGGTACGTATCCGCTCGAAGGCGGCTTGATGAGTGCGGATGTAGTTGAAGCGGTTCTGCTCCGTCTTAACCCAAGCGTCGACAATGAACTGCTGCGTAAGTGGGCCTCCGTTATGAATCGGATTAAACTTGCCAAGCCTGACTTGAAGCAAGTAGGAGTAAAATTCCAGTTTAGATATGCGGGCGTCGACAGGTGTAATCCCTCTTCTTCACATCCGAGTGTAAGGCTCGGCATAGTTCCGCAGAGCAGCTAATGCTAAGACTGATGAAGATATCGTGTGTAAGATATTCAATGTTCGCCGGCCTTAACAAAACCAATTCCCAACAACTATTTATTAGCAAGGAGGTGATCATGCAATAGGACGAAACAAGTGACCTTTCGGATTAAGGCAACAAGACTACAAAAGATCGCGGTGAGCCGTCGGCCAGCGGCGGTGAATCATGACGGCCGACATAAGTAAATAAAGGTGCGGTCGCTACTTGCAAAATAACAAAACAAGAGTAAGAGAGTTCGAAGAGGAAGTTGAGGAAACTACATTGAGTTAGAATGAGAAAAGGTACAAATGCACACCGAAGGCTTCCAACGGTCTCTTATATATATGTTTCACTAATGGATGCAAACATACATAGTCACATAAAACATATGGTAAAAATGGGGTTCAGGTTAACATTGCTTAATGGAAAATACACAAACTTCCTAATGGGTCTATTATCCTTCGATAGTTCCATGAATTTCTTTCTCTTGTTCTGCTAGTTCGTTTTCGTCATGTTCGATCACTTCGCTGTTGCAATGTTTGCTTACTCACTCGTTGTGTGAACATAGCGTCCGCTGTTCGCACTTGCGCGGAATATTCGGCAGGCACGTTACATCTACGGGGGATCGAAAGGTTGCGTCCCGCAACCTGAATATTAGAGAACTGTGACTCCAAAGGTAATCAGCGTTTGTTTGTTGGTGTTCCTTTCAGGGGCATCGAGAGTTGTCAAAGGCTTCTTCTCTTGATGGATCTTCTGCACCAATTGATCCTAGAAACGACGATACTTCGTATTCACATAATTGAATAAATCCTTTCCCATTTTGTGTCGACACATCACTACTGTATACATGTCCAATGCGGCTCGCGCCCAAGGCAAATGGAATGGTTGCGCGGCCGGTGTCTTGACGCGAGTTCCAAATCCTAACTAACTAATAAAGTGCCATTTGCCTTGTACATGGTCCATATTCCGCATACGGGTCGTCTTGCGCAACCATTATCTTTAGACCGGTCATCATATCCAATACATCAAACTACTTCTAACTAAGGGGAAAAGGGTCTGCCTGAATGTGGGCAATGCCTTGCGATGCCTTGAAAACGGAGTCCGGAATTACGAGGCCTCGAAATGCTCCGTCATCGCTCGATCTTGAGGCTGAATTCCAATTGGAGACAGCAGTAGCTTAGGTTGTTTCTTGCCGTAGACGTTGGGATAATCGTCGATATTTTTTTTGTTATTGACTTTACCATTAAACCGAGACTGTCTGGCCATTACAGTCCTGGTATTGTCCAGTGGATCTGCCAATGTTTGCCAATACATTAATGCCTTGCCAAAATTGGGTCGTACATCTTGGTTCACTTCCTGAGGAGTAACAGCGATACATGGTGAGTCTCATTTCTCCTTGCTTTCATCCTATAGAATAATACTACTAACATTATTAATGATACAAAAACTTTTACAAATCTGTGATTTCCATGATGTTGTCATGATACAAAAGGAGTGGAAATATGCTTATCGTATCAGATGAAAAGAATAACAATTTTCTTTTACAACATTACAAAGAAAGAAATGGATATAGTTGTTGGGAAAATTTTTGTTTTTTTTCTCTTTTTTCTTTCTCTTCTTCTTTTATCTTCTGTCTTCTGCTCTTGCTCTGGAAAGGTCTTATTTATGTAGTTTTGTCCGATCGACATGAATAATCCTTTTGCGCTTGCCGTCCAAAATGGTGATGTTAGGTAGATCAACAGCAATAATTGGAAAAGGTCCTTCGAATCGTGTCGCAAGTTTATGTCCAGCATCTTTCCTTATCCAAACTTTCTTCCCTATCTGATATTGTGTCTTTGGGGTCCTTGCTCTCAGATCGTATTGACGTTTCTGTTGATCCTGTGCCTTTGTCAAGTTCGAATAGACATTTTGATACGTATCCTTCAGAATTTTGACAAGATTGCCCACATAATCTTCTGTATCCACATATTTCTTCGTTGGTAGCTGAAGCGCTAGGTGGAAGATATTTGTGGGATCGCAGCCGTGGACAAGGAAAAATGGCGTGAATTTGGTTGAGGCGTTTTCCGCACTGTTGCAAGCGTGAACCACAAGATGAAGAACGTAATCCCATTCATCACTGTGTTGACGGATAGCGATAGCGATTTGTTCTTCTAATGTACGATTAACGCGTTCCACTTGTCCATTTGATTGATGGTGGTATGGGGTACTTGTGCGATGTTGGACGTGTAAATTCTGTAGAAGGGTACGGAAGGTCTCACTCATGTAGTTCGATCCTTGATCTGTCACCAATATTTGTGGTAGTCCGAACCTGGCTACAAGGCGGGTGATAAAGATGCGTGACGTGGTGTGAGCCTTTTGATCAGGTATTGGTTCCGCGACGATATATTTGGAAAAAGAATCTATGAAAACAATAATGTACTTGTTTCCATCCAATGTCAGCGGTAGAAGGCCGATCACATCTGAATGTACTCGTTGCCATGGCCTGGACGGTATTTCGAACGGGCACAAGGGTTCTCTTATCCTATAAGCGCTCGGATCCTTCCTTGCTTGGCATAGCTCACATGCATTGATAAAACTTGCGATATCCCTGCGCATGTGATTCCAAATAGCGATCTTCTCGACGGCAGCATGGGTTTTGCTGATTCCCAAATGTGCTGTCGCTAGTTGGGATTGATGTGCCAAGCGATGATGTCGTTCTTAATTTGAGACGATTCCGGTAATACTATTTGAGGGTCTTGATACAGAAAATTTGGCAATCTGTAAAGGATATCATTTATAAGTAGGTAATTGGATAACCTCGCGGTGTTTTCGTTATTTGCCAGTGCCATCTTAATTCCTGCAATCCATGTACATTCGTCTTGTTCCTTCCTTATGGCATCTAGCTGAAGGTTATCCTTCCCTATTGACGTGATAGCGTTTACAGGTGGCGGTAAATGTCGAGATAGCGCATCACATACTGCATTCTTCTTTCCTGGGCGATAGATAATGTCGATATCAAATTCCTGCAGCACGATTTGGTATTTAACCAATCTCCCAGTAAGATCTTTTCGATGGAGTAGTGCTTTGAGTGGTGCATGGTCCGTGATGATCGTGCATTTCGCTCCATCTATGTATGGTCGGAACTTCTGCACCGCGTAAACCAATCCTAAGGCTTCAAGTTCTATTGCCGGATATCTTGCTTCATGTTTATCTAGAGTGCGGCTCGCATAAGCGATAACGCGCTCTAAACCTCCTTGTTCTTGCTTGAGAACTCCGGCAACGCCTTTCGCCGAACTATCAGTCTCGATAATGAAAGGTTTACCCAATCGTGGTGCTGCAAGAATAGGTGCCGTTGTTAGGGCTTGCTTAAGATGTTCCATCGCCTCCTTACATTGCGATGTCCAGTTGAAGGGGACATTCTTCTTTGTTAGCGCAATGAGTGGTGCGGCGATCGTGGCGAAATTATGGATAAATCTCCGGAAAAACGAGCACATGCCTAGAAAAGACTTAACCTCCGTAGGGTTCGTCGGTTGCGGGTATTGATCGATTGCTCTGGTCTTTTCGGGATTTGGTCTTATTCCTTCCTTGCTTAGGATAAATCCTAAAAATTTGATCTCTTCCTTCGCAAACTCGCATTTGGATGCCTTTAACTTCATCCCTATAATTTCAATCTTTCCAAGTACTTCATCGATATCTCCCAGATGTTCTTGTGGGCTTGCCGAAGTAATAATGAGATCATCAATATAAATGAAGACTCTTGCCTTCAAATACTTTCTGAAGTCATCCATTATTCTTTGGAAGGTGGCAGGGGCTCCTTTCAGTCCCATCGGCATGCGAACGTACTCAAATGCTCCCAAAAAGCATGCGAATGCCGTCCTTTCGCAATGTTCTTCTTCCAGTGGTATCTGATGAAAGCCCTGTTGAAAGTCAAGGGACGAATAAAGGCATTGATTAGCACATAAATCAATAATATCCTGGATATTAGGTAGGATAGACTGCTGTGGTTTAGTAATGGCATTAAGTCCGCGAAAGTCGATGGTGAAGCGCCAGGTGTTTGCTTCACGTTTCTTCACCAATACGATCGGCGCGCAAAACGGAGATGTGGATTCCTTGATTATTCCATCTTTCAACATCTGAGTTATCTGCTTCTCTATTTCTTGCCGTTTTTCAAGGGGCACTCGATAGATCTTCCTGGCTGGTATTGTTGCATTTTCGACGAGGTCGATTCGATGGCGAATATTTCCTCTATAATGTCCAAGATGTCCATCTGGTCCAACGAAAGCATTGCTATGATATCTAATGATGTCTCGCAATTGGTCTTTTTGCTTCCTCGTTAAGTTAGAGTGGGATAGATCGATCTCATTGGCGATATCATAATTCTGGGGTTCCGGAATGACTGGAAACAAAGGCAACCGGTTCTCCCAGTCTGCTTCTGGTGGAATTTTGAAGTCGTCATTTGTGCTGTCGTCCAGAGGGATATCTTTGACGTATGCAACAGAAGGACGAGCCGGATCTCCCGGAAACTGAATAGATGGAATTTCTAATTGCAGCACTGAAACTTCCGATGGGCATGCAGGATATGCGATCGCTACTTTGAATCTCCGTCGGAGCAAGATATTAGTCATTGACGGGTTCAGGATATTAATGTAACAAGTCCCGTCTGGGTTTGGCGTAACGAGAGCTCGGCTGATGACAAAAATGTCATCCATTGGTCGTAGATTATCTTCAATAAGGAAGTCTATACATCTTGGCCATGTTAGTCCATCGATATGGGCTTCCACTATGTTATTAGTCCGTCTAGGCAGTACTATGTCGTTGACGAGCCGTACCTCGTAAGGTGATATATCCGCAAGTGTGATATAATTGATGGGCACGAGGTCTTTATCTTCTGGTCCTATTCGTATGATTTTGTGATGGAGGTCAAGGGAAACCAATAAACCGTTTTCGTTTAAAGCACGGATGAAGTCCGATCCTAGCAAAAGTGGGACTGGACAATCCTTGTCTGCTGCTACATAAAAGCAATGAGAAATAACGTGTGTTCCTATCTGAACTGGCAGACAAACGGTACCTGACAACTGTATTAATGTACCATTTGCAGTTGTCGCTGTTCTTGATGCTCCCGTAGGCGATTTCATGCCTCCAATCAGTGATAACGTTGATGCCCTCATGTACGATATAGTTGCTCCACTGTCCAATAACGCTGTGACCGAGTTAATGCCAATTTTGACCTTCAAGTATGGCAAATGTTGTGCTTCCGTTTGTATGGCATAGATATGTGGTACGAAGAGAGGTTCTTCTTCCCTTGGTGGCAAATCCACCATTACTAAATTGACTTTATGTTTCTGCTTCCTAGTCTTCCGTTTCGGGGTGAAGTTCTTGGCGATGTCGAACATGGCTGACGCGGCGGTCGAAGTTGCGCGTCTAAGGAAATAGAGCTTTACGTAAATAACGCAAGCTCCAACACAAAGTAGAATAATAGTGGCGGGTATTGCAATCCAGAGTATGGTGTAAATAACTGACCACTTGATATCTTCTACGCCATCCGAAAGCTTCTGTGTTGTTGACTCATAAAGGGATAATAAAGACTGACCCAGGGACATGCTGGTATTCCGTATCCGTGAGAATGTCTCTTCAATTATTCCTCTTTTCTGGAGTCGCGAGACCACATTTGCTTGCTCCTGTCTGATTGCCTCCATGTGTGGAATCAATGATAAGGCGTGACTGTCAAACAGGCGGTGGAATGTAGGTGGAGTGTCGAAAAGAAAAGGCTTCACTCTATCGTTAATAACGGCATTGGGCAGTATAAGCTTCTGTGTCGAATTGGAATCCTTTGGTGATAAGTAAGGGCAGGGAACGGTGGCAGATGTTTGTATCAAGTCCTGTGTTCCCGGTATTTCAAACCAAAGATCCTCGTCAATCCTGACGGGTGTCACTATATAACATGTTCCACTAACCGTATGATTATTAAAGACGAAGGTTGGTGTAACCCGGCGACATTTCGTAATTAATAAGTTGTCCGCAGTCCGTACGGCCGTGATGTCAGTTCTTCCCAACAGAATCCTGGCGGCCCATGTAGGGTCTACCAAGCTTAGGGTGCGTATCCGTTGTGCTCCGAGGTATTGCCGGACACAGATATTATTAAACTGACGTCGCACCGCAAAATTTTGAGGGGAAATATTTTCCGTATCAGGTGGTTGTGTAGGCACAGAAAATATTGAAGATGTTGTAGAGAAGTTTGCAGCTTCTACTGTTGTTGAAGCAATTTCCTCTTCCTCAGCCATTGTTGGTATGATCGTCGTTGAAGCAGGTATAATTGATGTCAATACCGAATCCACTACTGATACCGTTGATAATATAGAGTCCACTACTGGTACCGTCCAATCCATAAAGACAAATCTCGTTGTTCGCGTCAAAATTTCCTCCCATGATGGGGTAGAGGCTGGTGTTTCGGCCTCTATTACGGGTTGTAGGGTGGGTAGTGGGGTGTGGTAATACAGATGATAGACTTCTGGCGTTGTGGATGGGGAAATGGAAGAGGTAGTACTCGTTGGTATCGTCGACATTCTCTCCGAAGTACTTGATGGTTGGGTATAGTGTTTCATCAAAAGTGTTGTCTCCGGCGATTGAGGTGACGATACTAGTTTACTAGTTTTGGTTGTAGTGGTAGAAAAGAAAGTCCCTTTTGTAGAAGGGGGTGTTTTGGTTGGACTGGTAGGTGTTGATGGTAGAGTTGTCGTCGTCGTCATAGTATTTCGAACAGGTGATATCCTTGTTGTCAATTTGGATGTCCTCATAGGAGTTCCGGACGTCATCGTTGTTCGTATTGTTGTTGTTGTCGTAGAGGTTGTTGTTCTTCGTGAAGTCGTCGTTGTCCCTAGAGTTGTTAATTGTGGGGCTGATGTTGTTTGTACCGCTGATGAAATTCGTGACGTCGTGGTCAGGGGAACTGTTCGGGGTGGTGATGTTGTCGTGGTCGGACTGCCTAGCGTGGTTGGTGGAGTTATCGGGGCCGGAGAAGTTGTTGCCAGCGCTGCTAAGGTGACATTGAAATAGGGGATTTTAGACTTCCATTCTGAGTCTAACGGTCCTGGCATGTTCTATTCGATTCTTCCAAACTCCTTCTCAAGATAATCGTCGAATATCGGAGAAATACCCAGTTCTAGGTCTCGTCGGATGGTGGTCACGGCATAATTTGGAGGTGTTTTCTTCGCGGATTCCGCAAATAAATTTAATTGCTTCATGCGATATTCGCCGTACCGTATCGTACGTAGGACAATGTGCCTTGGATCATCCATTTTATAGTACCGGGTCGCCCGAGCAAGATCGTTATTGGTAACCAGTGCGTCACCTCTGCTTCGCAGAGGCTCGCACTGGCTCTTCTGTCTTATGCCGCACTCATTTCTGCATAACATGGCAAACCTACCGCGCAATGCCAGCCTTCACGAATGATTCGTAATCATTAATCCTTAACAACTACTCATTTCCCAAGCTTTTTCGTGTGAGATCGGTATTTTGCGTGGATGAAACTTTGAAAAATGAAGAACAAATGCAAATTTGAACAGGTTTTAAAACTTTTTTTTTGGCTTGATAGTCGCCATAAGGACAATAGTTATCGTGAGCTACATCTCGATGCAAAAATCTTCTAAAATGCTCAGGTAAAACCACGGCGGATTGACCATTTGTGCGACCATTTCTTTTTGGCGTCGTTTTCGTAAAGTAGCAAACCTTTGGTCACTGGTCTAAAGTCCATGGCTTACACATCAACCTGCTAAACACATCCACGGCTTTGCAAAAAGCGTTGATACGGACCCAATTTTGCGGGCCAGAAGCCAAGTGGATCCGTTTGATGCGCAAATTCTGAGGGACCCACTCAACAAATCCGTTCGTGCTTTTGCATGCTGGAGTTCTACCTTGGTAGCATGCGCTATGTAAAGTTTGGGCTCGGGATGGTGGCTGGAACCCGCTGTATGAATTTCGTTACAGACAGACAGACAGACACACACACAAAGTCACCTAAACACCCTTAGCCCGTTATTATAAGTTATGATATTCCATTGTTTTAGCTCGTAGAGGATCTTGTTCCATGTTATCGGGCGCGTGTTGAAAACTGGAATTCTTCTGAGATGTCTAACACCGAACAATCGCTTAGTTAGAAATACAGGTTCCATCGGCACAATTTCAAACGGGAAGGTGTTACCGTTTTTATCCGTGAGATGTCGTATAGCACGCTTTGTTCTTCTTCCTTGATGGGCCATGCGCAGTACATAATCTTGGATGGTAAGGTCTTGTGGGACTTGGGGAAAAGTGATGATATGGTTCGATGTCGTAAGGTAACTGGTGCCCAACTGACAATATCTGGTGAGTTGTTCGTGCAGAAGGTAATCCTCAGAAAATTGGAAGACGAGGTCGGGGTGGGGAAGGACTATGTAGTTTAGGGTGACGAATGCTTCGAAAGTTCCAACATGCTTGAATCTGCAGGAAGGTGTGACTTCAGTTGGTTTCCATATGATCGTGTATTCCTGTGTGAGACAGTATCCTTGGCTGTACGAGCAGTTCTCGGTGTTACCCAATGGACTCATGATGTGCTGTCCGTCGAAAGTGGCGACTTGTCCTTCCTCTACGGTGTATACACTGCGAAGATAGTTCCTGGTCCCCCATAGTGGTATCGCGATGTCATCTTCCTCTATTTCATTGGTGGTCCATAATCCATCCGACTGCAGAATCAATTCATGATCGTGTATTTTCCTTGATGTCCTGACCGTTGCGCATAGTTCTTGAGGGATCGACAACTGGCGACGTCGCAATATGGTGGTGGTAGTACGAATACGGAGAAAACTGCTTATAGATACCTCAATGGCATCTCTGTAGCACTTAGTTGCATTATTCCAGAATGGATTGGAAGTATCTGCAAACAGTTGCATCGTAGTTCGTAACATAGGTGCGTTTGTCGGGGTTGTACAATCGAATGATTCTGGAAGTGAAAAGATGTTCGAATATGGGTTTGTGCCACATATCTGGTATTTCGCAATTGTGAATCCACTGCACAGTATCAAAGTCATGATACACAATAAGTGAATCCCTGGAGGGTTGATCCTTCCTCTCGCGAAGGTGCTGGGAGGTGCGGGAGCTGGAGCATCACTTATCGGAAGGGGTCTATATTGTGGATATGATGGTGCTCCATAGCCATAAGGTTTTCTTCCTTGTACTGGTGGAAATCTATTGTTGTACATTCTGCGATTGTAGAATGGGAGTGCACGTTGACGGAAAGGTGGGTATCGGGGATAATATCCTCGCGGGCCGAAGAAGGGAGGATTCTGGATAGGTCGCAGTGTCCTCTGTATCTGCCTGAACTTATTTCTATCCTGGTCACTGGTAGGTTTCTGTCGTGGTGTTGCTTTCATCTGACTCAACTGCTGCTCAAGCCGATTGATTTTCTCATCCATAAGAAGAGCATTGACGGCTTGAAGGGCGTCTCTGTCTTCTTTCCTTTCCTGTTCCAGGATGCGAGATTCCTTTTCTGCACTGCATACTATCTCATCGAATTCGTCCGTGTCAGGTAGTATTCTAACCGCTTTCTTAATCTCGGGGTTGAGGCCCTTGATAAAGAAATCAATGGCCATCTGCTTAATGAGTGGTTGTCCTTGTCCCTGGAAAGCGATCTTCGTTTTGTTGTAAATTTTTTTGGCGAATTCTCCCACGGTGTCCTTTCCTTGCGTCATATTATGTAGCTCATCTCGGATATTGCTGAGAAGAGAGGTATTATTCATTCGCTTGGCTAGCTCCGTTACCAAATCCTTCCAAGGTATCTTCTCTCGATTCGGGATCTGTTGGTACTTCAGTTTCGCTCCACCTGTCAGGTAGAGTGGTAGTAATTTCTGCGAAATCAGGTTCGGGATAGCAAGCTCATGCGTCACTTCCGAGTATTCACTCAGGAATTCCTCAAGAGTTTTTTCCCCAGAGCCTGAGAACTTGTCCAATCGGTTTCCCAGTATCTTACAGGCTTTGTATAACTGTTCTTGAAGCTCCTTGTCCGAGATAGAAGGTGTTGCGCTTCTTTCTTGTGACGTAGTTGGTTTACTTTCTTCTTCCTCCTCTGACATGCTTGATCTTCTTTCCTTTGACATGGTCGGCTTCCTTCGGTTCGCTTCGAAAATTGCTTCTCTTCGTTGCTCCCTGCGTTGGTGTCGCAATAATCGCGCTGTGGTTGATGACGACGTATTGGACGCTGTTGGTTTTGCAAATAAAGGTTAACGGGAAAACAAGATGAAAAATAAAATACTAAAATGAGGTTATTTTATTCTAATCCAAAGAAGAGCTTCAAATGTACTAGCATTTTAGCAAAAAAGGAGATGTGGTTATAATTTCATTTCCTACTTTATAGATGATGCCAAATGGTGGGGCTAATGGAGTGCCTGAGGCACAAGACGATCGGGATGATAGGGTGGCGTTGGGAGCGCCGAATAATGAAGGTAATAAAGGAGTGCTTATGAAACAAAATGATCAGGATGATAAATGAATATTTGAAGCGGCGAATGAAGCAGGAGATGATGGAAATGAAGAGCTCAGGATGCCGAATCTCGGATTGCCGAATGGTTGCCATCATGAGGGCGATGAAGATGAAGTGCCAGAGGATCCGGATAATTGGCAGGAAGGTTCCTCATCAGAGAGCGAAGTATGGAGAGTAGATGGTCGCGATTCACCGGAGGGTCCGCATCATCCGGTCCTAGGGTTAGGCGCCCGTCCCCTAACCCGTAGGGAAGACATGCTACTCTTCCTTCGCTTAAACGCACTCGAACGGGCGCTAGAGGCGGCGGAAGATGAAGACTTCGATGAAGATGAAGAGGTGGCACCTCTACTGGGGCCGAACGCTGAATTCCGCAGTGTCCGCCCTCGACTAGGGTGTGTGGTATGTGGCGTGAACGGCCACAGAACCTGCGACTGTGAGGTGCACTTGGAGTTTCAAAATCGAGTGCGGATTGTCTTCGCATATCGCCTGTGTGGGCGATGCGCCGAGTTCTTTGATAGGGATATGTGCCTTACCCATCTTCACTGTGCACGGTGTGGACGCGAGGACAGCCACCCAACGTTCCTATGCTGGAGGCCAATCCCGAACGAGCGATCTCATTTGAACGTTATTTATTATTTTGTGTACACAGCAAATTAATAATTCATGGTGTTACTACAAGTTGAAGAGTATACAATACTATGTGAAGATAGTAATACGACACCAGACAAGTTAGTACGATTTGGCAGATGGACGTGGTTCCCAAACGTCGGAATCCTTGTGCTGCTCCTTAGAGTCCTCGCGTGGATGGTTAGCCGGGTAAAGGATAACTTTGGGAAGTTGGCCAAAAATCAACCAGACTTGCTCAATATGGAGAACGAGTGGGGTGGAAGAGTTAGGTGAAAAATCAAACAGAGGAACATTCGGAGCACTCATGAATAACCATGTCTGTAGTAAAGATGTTTTTGCAAATTATGAAAAGAGCTTCTGGGACATGTGTTGCATGGAAAACGATATTCTTTCGCTGATTTTGGACAAATTGTGAAGGAAGAGTAGTTTGGAATGAACTGTCCGCAGCTGCCATTGAAGGCTGCCAGAGATAAAGCGAATAGGCGATTACAGTGGCGTGTGATGTTTCGTGTTCTTATATACTTCAATGGACAGTTGCATTCTTCCTCCAAAAGCGTAGCTAGACGATAGGCGGAAATGAACAGGCGAAGGACATGGGAGGTGGTACGGCCATGACTTTTTCTTGCTCCTTTTCCCATTCTTCCGATGGGTTTTCAGGAATTATCGGAGTTTCGTCTCTGATAGTACTTAGAATATCGCACAGGTGTTCAAAGCGTTCATCAGCAATGCTCATGCTTCTGAAATTTTTAAATTTAGTTATTAACGCTATATAGTTCGAAGCCGGAACCTCCATGTAAGGCTCGGCATAGTTCCGCAGAGCAGCTAATGCTAAGACTGATGAAGATATCGTGTGTAAGATATTCAATGTTCGCCGGCCTTAACAAAACCAATTCCCAACAACTATTTATTAGCAAGGAGGTGATCATGCAATAGGACGAAACAAGTGACCTTTCGGATTAAGGCAACTAGACTACAAAAGATCGCGGTGAGCCGTCGGCCAGCGGCGGTGAATCATGACGGCCGATATAAGTAAATAAAGGTGCGGTCGCTACTTGCAAAATAACAAAACAAGAGTAAGAGAGTTCGAAGAGGAAGTTGAGGAAACTACATTGAGTTAGAATGAGAAAAGGTACAAATGCACACCGAAGGCTTCCAACGGTCTCTTATATATATGTTTCACTAATGGATGCAAACATACATAGTCACATAAAACATATGGTAAAAATGGGGTTCAGGTTAACATTGCTTAATGGAAAATACACAAACTTCCTAATGGGTCTATTATCCTTCGATAGTTCCATGAATTTCTTTCTCTTGTTCTGCTAGTTCGTTTTCGTCATGTTCGATCACTTCGCTGTTGCAATGTTTGCTTACTCACTCGTTGTGTGAACATAGAGTCCGCTGTTCGCACTTGCGCGGAATATTCGGCAGGCACGTTACACGAGCTACAGCCAAAATTTCCCCTCGGAAAAAATACCGGGTAGCAGAGAGGATGGGCAAGATTGGAAATGTCTGAGATCTTCTGAACTGCGTTTCCATATGGATGTACGGCAAATTCGCGATGAGCGGGAACGTCACCGTCTTCGCCGACGTAAACAACGGCCACCTCGTTGCATGTAGGGGCGTTATAGCGACGACGGTCAAGGGATCGGTCCATCTCGAAAACCATACGAACTGGCTCAGCACTGCAGTTCTCCCTTGAGGCGGCAGTTTCTTCTTCCTTGAGCACCTTGTCCATCATCTTGTAGGATCGAGCGAAGGATTTAACACGGTGTGTGCACTTAACGATCGCATCACGTCGGGATCACATTCCGAGTTCGCAGGGTGACCAAGGCGCTCCGCAGCTGCTTGTGCCGTGTCCAGGATGTACAGCTGGTCGTACGATCGCGGCGCCCCAGGGGCGGGATGAAGAGTACCGGAGTAGTGGTAGATTTGGCCGTGGATTTTAGAGACCGAGGGACCCTGATCGGAAGGCAAGTCGATTTTGGCACCCATTGATGCCATCGCCAGCGCAAAGCTGAATTGGCGTGCTTCCGAGAGAGATCATCGTTGCCAATGAAGAGCTATTGTAACTCGTAGGGAAAAAAGCGAACTTGTCTTCGATGATGATGTTGCCAAAGTTGCAGCGCAACTGATCTTATCACAGGGACTTCAGCACGAAAAACTTGGGCGCTACAATGGAGGCAAATAACATCCAACTTGCCGAGGTAGTGCTCAGTGACGGAAGGCACATCAGCAGGTAAGTGTTGTTTATGATATCATTCACGCATAGAGGCAAGACGTCGATCTCGTTCAGCCGGTGTCTTATGGCTACGGCGAAGACAACTACGCAAGGCTTCAGGAAAGCATCTTCCAACAGTACGGGCTCGTGTTCTCTGTGCGGTGCATCTGCGACTGGAGTGTGAAAATAGCCTCCTCGGATCGTCCTTGATGTGTGGCCGCATTCGTCTCCTGAACGCAACTTTTGGAAAGTGGTTGTGCTGGCGACAATTAAGGTAACTTAATAAATAATACTTAATTAATAATAATATTAATATTAATATTAATATTAATATTAATATTAATATTAATAATATTAATATTAGTATTAATATTAATATTAATATTAATATTAATATTAATATTAATATTGATATTAATATTAATATTGATATTAATATTAATATTAATATTAATATTAATATTGATATTAATATTAATATTATATTAATATTAATATTAATATTAGGTCGTTCCAAAAGTAATATCGCTTTTTTCAAATGTACGCCACATTTCGTGGAACAAAGATGTGTAGCAGATTCTGGCAGCATTTGATGCAGCATTTCATTCTCTTTCTAATGGTCATGAAGTTGTTGCAATACAGTCGATGAGCTTCCAGAAAAGAGTCAAAATCTGCGACCTATGCTTTTTGAGATGGCCAAGTTTCACAATTTTTCTAAAATTTTATAACAAACCTCAGAAGGAGTCCAAGTAATGGATAGATGGAGCAACCCTACAGGAAGCAGCACAACTTTTTCCTACTTTTCAGAGCTCGTCATAATTTCTGTATAGATTTTTTGATGAAACCACAGAATTTTAGCAGGCTCGTCTCAGACACAAATGCATCAAACACCAAGAAATCGTTGGATTTTGAAACTTACAAAAATGGATTATGTTTTGCACTGATTTTACACAGCAAATGAGCGTTTACCGCTTCAGATTAGCAACTTTCGAAAATTCCGAGTACAGCCGGAGGCGCCCTGAAAAACTTGAATTATGATGATTTTATCTCGGAAAACTTGATGAATCGGAAACCAAAAACAACTTCAAAAAGAGGAGAAAAAGCTGCGTCGAGTGACACCCGAGTTGCTTGCCGGTTGTTGTTTTGAGAGGTTTGAGTTGACCAAATATGGAATTTGATGGCATTTTAAAACTGGTTCCAGAAACTCTAAGAAGCAAGCTAAGGAAAAGGAAAAAATTATTCTGTGTCCTACAGGGTTTGCTCTATCTAAATGCCACTTGTACTTCTTCGGAGAATAGGTACAAAAATTTTAAAAAATTGCCGAACTTGACCATGGCAAAAAGCATGAGTTGCAGATTTTGTTAATTTTTCGAAAGCTCAATGAAAATTATGCAATGAGAATACAACCATTAGAAAGAGGATAAAATGCTGCATCGAATGCTTCTAAGATTTCTTGAAAATCTTGATTCCATGATATGTGGCGTTCATTTGAAAAAAGCGACATTACTTTCGGAACGACCTAATATAATATTAATATTAATATTAATATTACTTAATTAATACTTTATACACTTTGTGTATAACCATCTCTATTTTTATCACTATTACGTGCGTTGGGGCAAGTTCTTCTTGGGCCTCTGGTGCTTGCTGGCTATGGTGTAGACGGTTATGTGCAGCTGCGGAGCGCCGCCTTGCGCCACGTGCTCGAGTTCTTTGCGCAATGTACATATACGGAATGGTGGGGGTGGAGGTAGGTGCCGGTTCAAACATCACTTGTTGCCGCAAAAGCGTAGAGATCGTTTGTTCTGTGTTCTTGTCGATTGGCTCGTATCGGTTGGCACCGATCCGTTCTGGGCTCGCCCCATGCATGGATTGATCCAGTGTCTCCTGAGCGTCCGTTAAGCTGTGGTTCCTGTTGCCGTCGACGAAGATGGCGTTCACGCATTGAGACAAGACGCCGCTCTCGTGCCTCTGGTGCTTCTCGGCTACGACGAAGGCGGCTACGCATGGCTTCAGAAGTGCGCATTGCAGCGATACGGGTTCGGGATCTTTGGGCGATATGCACATGCGACTGAGGTGTGGAGGTTGACGGTCCATTGCTGTAGGAGGTCAATGTCGGCGCGATGGTCTCGGGAGCAAAAGTAGTCGGATAATGTACGACCAATGAAGGCATGGGGACCGTAAGGCTGAGATAGGGTATTTTCATTTGGTGGTCATATTTGTTCTCGTGATCTCGTGGGTGAACCATTCTGATTTTGTTGATGAGCTAAGCAGTCGATGAAACCCGTTGCGATAGGTCAATGCATAGTTGAATATCATCTAGCATCCAGAATGTGGCATGCAGAAAACCAAAAAAGGTAAAACAGCTCAGTGGTCTGCTGATCACGAAAACGATAGTGAAATTGCGTGATAAGGGCTTTTTTGTAGGATTACTGTAGGTGCACGATATGGGGTCTCACCCTAATCAAGGAAAAAGGCGTTGATTCAACAAATGAATGTGATATTCGCGTTTGGCAGGTCAATTAACCTTACTATGTAAAGTCTCGACGGAATTTGAGCTTCGGACTCTTTAGTCATTGACGGTCGTCCCCAGCAGCTCTTACGTACATCGACTCGTTCGACTTTATGAGGACGCCAAATCTCGATATGCCCCTAAATTTTGTTTCTTTCTCAATAGACCAAAGGAGTCAACCTTCAGCAATAATTTATAGACGAATCCGGATTACTGCGCATGGTCTAGGCTGCCAAAGGCTTCATTTTAGCTTGAAACCCCAAAAATTGTCAAATTTCAGTAGTTTTCGAAAAACGCCTTTAACTTTTCTATTTCGTGTTCAAAGTTCAGACAATTTGTGCTCACTTGTAGCTCACATAGCCTTCTATATAATGCCAAAGTTTGAGTGCGCCATATCCAAAGAGGGCGAAGTTATGGAACTAGTTGCAAAACTTAGTTTCCAACCTAATATCTCTATCATAATCGCCAGCGATGCTTAGGGATCGTTCAGACCGCGCACAAAGGCGCATGAAGGCGCACGAAGGCGCACAAAGGCGCACAAAGGCCCCGTATTTTTGTCTTCATTATCGATCGAATTGAAAAACAAGGCCTTGCGCCTTCTTGCGCCTTCGTGCGCCTTTGTGCGCGGTCTGAACGATCCCTTATGAGGTTACGCCAAGTTGTATGCATGCCAGCACGGACTGTCTGCGGTTCTGCCAATCTGACCACTGTCTTATTGTAGAAATGCTAGACTTTAGACCGCGAATGAGTACAGTCTACGACATACACTACTGCACTGCATCGGCGATTCAACTATAATTCTAGAAAAAACTAGTTGGTGGCCCCGGTCTCACCCGAGACTTCAAGTTAGTTTGCTAACAGAACTTGTAAACTTACGCCTCTAGATTTCTTCTAACATGCGCATAAAGCGCTTTCAGACTAATTGCCGCACCCTACCAACTTTGAGACTGAAATGGACTTTACCGCCCCTGCTTACATGCTTATATGTAAAAATGATCGGTTGCCATGATGGCCCTTCATTTTCTTGAGTTTGAGTAAATAAATCAATAAATCTATAGAATGGCCCGGCGAATCGCCGCGGAAAGTAGCTCTAAACCACCGCCGGGGTCGAAAATATACGTGTGCGAAGTTTCAGCCGGATCGGTTCAGTGGCGCGCGTTTCTATAACGAACGAACAACTAAACGAACATCTGCACAGACATTGAGTTTTATATATATTAGGTTGTCCCGGAAGTTTTGTCCGTTTTTCAACCTATCATAAAAACGCGTGGAACGAAGATAGGGAAACGCTCTAAGCACTATCCGACGCATCTTTTCCTTCTCTTTTCAACTGTCATGCTTCCATGCCGATTAACCTTTTGTTCACTGAGATAAACGCCGAAATTTCGAACCCATGGTTTTTACTATGTCCAAGTTTGGCAATTTTTCACAATCTTCATTTTTGACATTCGGAAAAGCTTTGGAAACAGTTAGATAGAGCAAACAAAGGGCAATATAATGCAGTTTTGCGACACCTATAGCCAGCCCTGAAAATTTTTTAGAATTATTTTTTTGATGCTATCAAATTGCACTTTTGGTGATGCCAAAAGCCAGAGATCATGAAACGGCGCACAACTAAGGCGTTATTCGATGCAGCTTTTCCTCCTCTTTCCAGTGAGTATATTTCCTCTCCAATTCGCGGAGTCTTTGGCAATAAAATTTTCATAATTCTTGAATTTGACCCCACCGCAGCGTGTACACGTAAAATGCAAAATCTTATGCTTCGAAGCGGTAAACGCTCATTTGCTTCGTAAAAACAGTGAATAATCCTAATCGGTTTTTGAAAGCTTTAAAATCCGATGATTTGTTAGTGTTCGAGGCGTTTCTGTATTTTAGAACTTAGCAAAAGTGAAGACTTTTGAAAAAATTATCTTTGAAACTGTTGAAAAGCCAGCTAGATATGCCAAATAATTGCATTGCATTGCCCTTTGCTTACTCTATCTGTGGGCTATCAAAGGTTTTCCAAAAG